ACCGAATATAAGCCGAACAACGTGGGAAATTGGCGCATTCACTGGAATTTTTCTTTCTCACGCAGTCCATTTTCATTAAAGATTTGACAGAGACTTTTTCATCGCGATAATTGATCTTTTGTGCATCGAATTAGCATGATGTTAACGAAATGCGCATTTCAAAGATTATGTTTTGAATTGAGAGATTAAAGATCCTCTGAAGCACTTGAAAAACCAGAAAAAAATCAAAGGCCAGCCAAGGCGACGTCACACTCGCATAGGTGCTGAGTGCCGAATCTGTTGTTATCTCGTGGATGATCTCACACAAAATCGTGACAGTAATTTTAGTTGAGTCTATAATACTTATTCTATTTTAGAAAAATGATTATTCTTACAAACAAGGCAGGACCTTCGAGCGCTCCATTTATGATTTTGTTGCTAGTCTCAATCTCAGCCGTGTTTGGTTGTGGAGTGATTCCTGGAGGTCAAAGTAATGAATAGGAATTGTTATGGATCTACTAATATATTCCATTGTTAGATGGTTAAGAGCTCTAACCAGAATGAGCATTCTTAGCACTCTATTACTACTTGATTGTTGTCGCAGTCTGCGCTGTATATAGGCAAGGTATTTAATTCTATATAAGAAGAAAGATAAAATTATGAAGCTTTTCAATGCAGTGACTTTTGTGATTTAGCTAGCACCAGGAGTTTGTAAATGAACTTTGATGGGTGAACGTTTTGGAGTCTTGGCCATCTCGGAGTCCATGATAGATTCGATTCTCCACTGTCGTTCGCCATCGTTGTGGTCTTCGTCTTCGATGTTGTGCATGTTCAGTTTCCTTCAAAGGAACATCGCTCGAATGAAGAATTTCACTCAGCGATGCTTTCGTATACAACATGACTGCCATACAAGTTGCCAGCATTGGTTATAAGTTGATAGTGGTTTTAATGACAACATGCCAGGACCTGAAAATGTGAAACGTTGTCTGAGCTTTTTCAAAGTCGATGGCATTCGGTTATCCAAATATTCATCTTCAATCTGCTGTTTAAAAATTTCACTTGAGGGCATCGATATATTCTGCGGGATTACCGAAATGTACATAAGCCAGTGACATGCTAAACCTTGGAAAAATTGGAACAGTTCTCAAAATAGGATGTTCTCAAACGAGATTTCTAAAACAATCGATTGAGAAACATTATGTACAAGAACAGTTCTATATCAATGAACATTGCCGAGTGAGGTTTTCAATTCGGGCGGTGCTCCACCGAGAAAGAGTCGACTTGAACGACAACGAAAACGAATACTTGTGAACTATCAACTCGAATTATTGGCTCTGAAGAAACTAAGACGTCGAAGTGTCGGCCGAATAAAGTTTATTTTTCAACCACGTGTTATTATCTAAATTGTAAAAAAGGTGTTACTGAATGGTAATGACGAGGAGAGCCGGTTTTCGATGTACTGAATAACTTAATTTACAACCAATCACTACGAAAGCTATGTAATTTCGTTGCAGCGAGCACTAGGACCTTCACTGCCAGCGGACCCAGCAACTTACCTATTATCGCGGTTTACACAGATAAGAACGAAGTCTTTGCTCTTGTCCCTGGTATTGCAACCAGCAAGGGTGCTGTTCAGGCACTTGCACAACGTTTTGCGATGCAAACAGTGAGTTTACATTGGGCATTTCATTCTTTTCGTGAATTCTGAAAAGACGTTTGAGATGAGCTGCAATTTTTTCACACATTTTCGCTCTCTAATGCTAACCTAACTTGCCAAATTTCACATATGTTCGTTGAAAAAACTTCCGAGCCACCCTTCAAAATAGTGTAGATTTACGTTTTAGGTCGTCGATGTTCTCGAAATCGAAGGTCGGAGAGCACTCTTGCCTGATTTTGTGATCTCCAACATTCTGGGTCAACTTCAAGTTAATACCACTTACGAACCATTGCAATGTCACTTCTTAAGGGGACCAGGGGAAATGCGTAAGTCTCCAGTAGTGGACATTCATTTAGGAAATTCAAATCCGAACTATAAGGGGGCATTCAAAAGCAGAGCTGACATTTTTTTTTTGCAAACGATAATATTTTCTTCAAACTTATTATAAAATATCTCAAAGTTTGAGGAAAACTATCATAGAGCCATAACATCAAGATCTTTCAAAATGACAACATCTTTTCGAATGTTATGCAGATTTTATTTTCAGAATGATATAGTATTCAGTGTGTTAATAAGTGAAGTTTTGTAGATTTTGAGAAGTAAAAGGAAATAGTGTCCAACATTGCTTTGATTTTTCCAGTTCTCTAGTGACAGAACAAGAAGTGATTTGAGACCTATACTTTCTTGCAGAGTTTCCGATCGACAGCTGTATTTTGTCGGTAGCACGGTGACGGGAATTTGCCCAATGCATGGGGCAGGGGGAGTGGGGGCGGGGGGTGTGAAATGTCAGGAGGTTGCAATGCCTATCAACAGCAAACACTTGTCCCTCTCAGGAACTCTCACGGTTTGGACGGTCTTCTTATTTGCATAACTTCGTTTCATAAAGAAAAAATTCTATGTAGACTACGAACATCGTCATGGCTAATTGGTCGAGGTCGATGTGGCAAAATGTTGTGGACAGAGCGCTTCGAATGTTAAGATCGGGTCCGTTTGGTTCGCATTTGTACACGGTAACGGTCACTGTCAGCTGAAATTGGAAGCGAACTGTGACATTCATGAGACAAACATTTCTATCTAATCGATGTTTATTGTGGCAGTACACAATCAATAAACTAGCAACCATATGGGTGTTGAACAATCAGAGTGGAGAGCAGTAAATTATATTGAAATGAGTATTTTCTTCTGTTTGGCCGTTTCGAGGTGTCATTGATATTGTTTTTTAAATACTAACGAAGCATGCAAAATACAGTCAGTAATGCAGCTTGATTATACAATGATCGAGGTGGATACTTTTCGGCGGGTAGCCTTCTTCAGAGCCTGAATGATCATATTGATCCGCAATCCACTAACGCAAAACCTCCATAAACCCAACAAAAAACGTAAGAAACGAATTTTTGGATGCCATAGTAAAAACTTCATCACAAGAACCCACTCACCGTTTTGATGTTTTGTGTCTATGAATCATTCATTGAAGACCAGCCATATAGGGTCAGTGCATCAGTGGGCTGCGCCTAACTCAGGCCGGAAAGATCAGCCTCAGGTATTGTTCGAGGTCACGCGTAATTACGAGTCAGTCTCTTTTCGGTTCATTTTTGGCCTTTGCTATGTATCCAAAAGGCTTTTATATTGAAATGCACATTGTGATGAATTTGTGCTTACTACTTTACTTGAGAAGTAATTGAGAAGTTCTCATATACATTTTTTACAGGCCAAATTTCTACTGTGAAATTAATAATATCATAAGGTTTGGAATAGTAGCCGGAATGGTTTTACAGCAGCGCCGCTTTGAAATTTCGGCTAAAAATTCATTCATTCGCCTATCGAAATGTGACCAACTTCCATCTCCAGGCATTCACACTTTAGGTGCTCTGAAATTAATGCTAATGAATGTGCTTGCTTTTATAGATGTTATTCATATCCACAATGGAAGTTCATTAGTAGAAACAAAAATGACAGCATTTGATATTGTAAATTGGCGATTTTGCACAGAGAGCTGCCTTTTGTCTCATGAAAATTTTCTAAAATGATGGATAATAATGTAGTCGTTTAAAAAATTCTGAACGCTTCCGTGCGAAAGATTCATTAGGTTTTATTACATCCATTTTACTGAAGTGTTAAATAACTGCAAAAGCAAAAACCACTGATAAAATTTGAGTGCTCATTCTAGTGAAATTAATGGGTAACTGACAAGGGTAAGCTATTCTAGCAATCCCGGGACAAGTGATCTCCAAAGTATTAACTCTGAAATTGCCGGAGAGGACGATAATGACTATATGTTCAATTTTATGATCACTATTCCAACACATAAATCGTTTTCTTACAGTTTTCAAGATTAGTCGATTGCCTACCGAACGCAGATCATGTGGGCGGGCGACGACCAAAAGAGGGTGTCACATGAACTACTACTCACTTCAAGTTCAGGAAAACCTGCTGGACGACTTCACTGTACTGAATATGCCATTGTACCGTTGAAAAAACGCTAACCAGTCGTTCTTCGCCTTTCTCGGGTATACAAAATGAACTGCATTTTGAATTTTCTTGCATTTTTCTGGATTCCACTTGATAGTTCAACGAACGCCCACATAGCATGAATGAAAATTCACCTGTGGGCCATCGCATCGAATAATAGGGCACTAAAGACAGAGATGATGAGATATTAGCCGAATAATACATGTTACTAAGCTCATTTCAGCCTAATAATGCAAGAAAATGATCGATTACGTATGCCGAGATCAGATCTAAGCCGACTTTTCTGGATATACTGGATGGACCCATGATTTCGTTCGCATTTCGACACTTTTGTCGATTTAGTTTTCAGTTATTTAACGAAATCAGTCAACTAACAGCATAATCACTATCATTCTATATAATATTTAATATTATAGCCATGTATTCGTCTTCGATTTTTAACTTCGTTCAAGGTGATGTCCTAAATGCGAACTTGATCACATCGTTTATAACAAGGTGAAATTAACTCAATGTCAGTATCGTTCCATACTTTTGAATCTCATAACGACATTCTCCCCATAAATATTCCTACATAGGAAACGATTAAGAAACTGTCGTCGAGTGAAATGAGCAATCCGCTTGAATAGAATTCGTTTTCAGCTATGCCATATATATTATGGCTGACACAAAATTGAGGATCCGATTCAAGACTACGGGAAGCTGCTAGAAGTTTTCTGATGCCGTTTTCTGTAAAGTCTTCTCAGTTCCAAGATAAATTCTGTACGTTGACCAAGCATGGTCAAGCATCATGCAGAAATGAAGCCTTTGCTCCAGATTTCTAGCAATTTTACTGCTCTCATCGCAGTGTTAGATGTTTCACATACACCTAAGAGAATTAAGTGGTGAGCAAAAACACGGCCTCAGAAGGGAATCGAACCCGCGTTGTATTTTCACCGAGGACACGTGCTACCATTACACCACCGGGGTGCACTTTTCTCTTAGATATATGTAAAGTCTTTGCGCTAAATTGCATCTGCTGTTTTCTGTTATTCTCATAATAAAAATGGTTTCCAACACCAGGTGTGGGAGGTAGAGGGCAGCCTTTAAGAGAACGAGAGAAGCGTATTTCGTGATGCGATACTCAAAAGACCAGCGACCGAGATGAGAAAATCTCTGTCAATATCGGATGAAAATGGACTGCATGGAACGAAAGTTAAAGAAAAATTCCAATTTCCAAGTTGCTCGGCTTATATTCGGTTCCTGCCTTTTTATTTCTGATGCTGCGACAATCGACAAAGGGCCTGAATCACAGCTGCAAATCTCAGAAAAGCATTCCAAAGAAGATATCGATTGATGAAAACCGAGCGCAGTTCTCATCGCAGAACTTTTTCGGTAATAAATTTCTACGCAAAAACTGCGTTTGTGAAACTTTGATGTTCCTGTTGACCTCTTACATTTGGCACGCTCATAATTTATAGTTTTAACGGAGTGGTCAACTGATAGCCAAATTGAGTAGATCTATAGAATTTCAATAGTGTGGTTGAGAAACAGGCGTGTAATCAAAAATCCACCAATATGAGGACGTTAACGGAAAATCGTGTCAGGATTGGGTCCTAGAATAAACAGCTCCATGAGAGACATCAATGTTGCCGTGAGATAGGAAAATATTTCCATCGATGAAATAGCCAATGTATTGTAACAGGAAAGCACAGTGGGCGATGTTCAAGAATGTAGTTGATGTGATGATAAGCAGACGCTACCCTGTTCATCTTTTCGAACGTTTCAAGGTGGATATTTACAGAACGCCGTTCTTCTGCATTTTCCACACCTGTTTTCCACTGTGATATAGAGAAAAAGACAACAAAATTTATGTCATTCTGACATTTCCCAGTTGTACAA